ATGGGGTGTATCTACAATTAAAGTCATATGGCCATGTCTTTTTAATGAAAACCCACTTCTTGCAATGTTCTTCTTTCTGAAGAGTCTGATGCAAGGGATTTGGTATGCGCCCATTTTGTTAACAAAGTTTGAAAGAATGAAGTGTTTGTTCCAAGGTTGGCTAATTTTGGACCGATTCCTCTAGTCATGTTCGTAGGATGCTTTCCGTGAGAAGCAATCACATATCTCTATTTTATGCAACCATGAACTAAATTTTAGATAAATATATAGAACAAAATTTTGATTTAAACCCATTCCCATTTTTTTTTACCGGAATCGACCGACCCTCTTTTTATTTAGCGGAATCGACCCACTTCTCGGCCACGTCAGCAGCGTGGCCGAGAAGCGGGTCGATTTTTTTTTAATCTCATCACTAAATAGTCGGGGTTGCCAACCCCGACTATTTTTTCTACTGAAAAAATAGTCGGGGTTGCCAACCCCGACTATTTAGTGATGAGATTAAAAAAAAATCGACCCGCTTCTCGGCCACGCTGCTGACGTGGCCGAGAAGTGGGTCGATTCCGCTAAATAAAAAAAAAGTTGGTCGGTTTGTAAAATAAAAAGTTGAAATGGGTTTATATCAAAAATTTGTTCTAAATATATATGTTCCAATATACATACAAGATGAATAAAGATGTGCACAACTGTGCATGCCTACCATCATGCTTCATGTTTAGACTTTGATTAATTGGAATACATAACAATACATCTTTGTTTAAATACGAGGTTCCTGCTTGTGATGGAAGATCAATGCTTATGAAAATTTCAAGATATTTATGATGACAGTATTTAATAGTTCTATCACTTTGTTTGCCCAGTTGCTTATGGCTAATGGAAATTTTTGAATAGTCTGTTCTTTACGTTATTTGGTTATTAATCTTTTCTTTATCAGGCAATTACCTAACCTAAAGATAATTAAGATAGGATCAATGCACGACCAAAATAGAGGTTGGTGTGTCCCTCACATCTCGACTGGTGTGTTGTTGACGTGGCACACATGTAGGCCATCTCGTTGTGAATCTTGTGATCTGGGTATATTATCATCAAGACTACAGGGACCTAGTTGCGTGCCTCAACACACTAGTCAAGAGTATGGAAGAATACACCAGCCTCCATTTCCCCTTAATATGTACAATACAAATGATTATCTTGTCTTATGTTATCGGCTACAGGGTATTGCTTCCAGCATCAGGACTATCAGTTTATTTCATCAAAAAGATGCTATCCTTTGATCTTTATTGACATATAATCATTTTGTTGCTGTTTTTAGGTGGATATTGCGTATGCTCCATTTATTGAAAGGTTCCAGTGCGGCTTTCAAGCGTTAAAGAACTATGACATCACCAAAGGCAGGCCCAGGCTGGCAAAATGGACAGAGGTAAGTATGGAGTCGTATCGAAATTCTAGAATTAATTTTTTTTGTATAATGAAATTCAGGAGCATTTTCTTTCAGGTTTATGTTTGATGCACTGATTGCCTTAACCCAAACCATTCCTACTTGGATGTTTTGCTCTTTTCTCGCTTGGAAAATGATTGCAGTTTACTTGTTCATTCCATGATTTGGTCTATGAGGTTATCCTGTCAATTAATAGTGTCTTTGGTTAAGGAATGTGTATTTAGTTGGTGATTGCAGTAGGGTTACGTATAATTTGTAGTCAGCCTTGCAAAATATGGGTATTAGTATTTCATCACTCGATTTAATTTTGATGGAATAATGCTTTTGATGATGACAAAAATTAATTTACGGTGCTCCTAGTTTTCTTGGCAATTGAATCCATTTATGTCGACGTAGCACGAAATGAAGCTGAAACATTAACAAGAGGGAGCCCATGTATACTGAACACATGGATCTTACTCAAATCCAAAAATAGATACCGTGACATAAAAGCAACCGACTCTTGGCTAAAATTTTAGAGGGAATAGTTCATATTCTGTGCATTTGTCTTGCAAGTTATGGTGTTATGTAGCTCAGCAGTGCATTATATCCTCTCTTTTTTTTCTAAGGAGTTGAACAAGATTGATGCCTATACGGCAACTAAGGGTGACCCTGAAGAGTTTCTTCATGCTCTTAAGAAGAGATTTGGGGTAAATTCTTCTTCATTTTTGTATATTATTAGATTCAAATATAGGAATTAGCATGATAACATATTTTGTGTTCAAGCTTCTAATTCATAATAATTTGACATCTTTGTTTTCAGATTGAATGAAGGTCCTCCGTGCAGATTAACTATAAACTCTTGTCACCTCAGTTTATACATTATTTATGAACAGCTTGCACAAGATAATAATCATCCGATTGTGTAATTATATTGGATTTAATTGCAAATATACCCCCATGGACTATAAGTGGTTGTCATTATATGAATGTATTAATCTACGATCTGTTCACTCTTCATATTGTTTCATGGGGTCTGGATGAGAAGGGAATTTTCTTTTTAGAAAAAGGTAAATCCTCATTAAAAATTGAGACGTGACAGTGAAACGAAAGTACTTTTCATTACAAATATTTGTTTTAGTGATTATAGAAAGAGAAGTGGAGTGTCGAAGGTTTCTTTAGAATTACTTTTTGGTTGGTGTAACGTGGGAAGAGAAACAAATTAATTTGTCTCTCATCTCAAATTCAGTTTTGGGTTAATTTCACAAAACCCCCCAAACCCCCTAAAGCTTTTGTTTGTCTTACGTGATTTCCTGAACTTTAGGCTATCTCGAAAAAATCCCATTGCACTTCCAACTTTTTTTACAGGACCTCTGTGCGTGTAATTTGTAAATAAAAATTTCTTGAGAGGGAAAAAAAATCCAAAATACAGGGAAGGGGTTATTTACCTGTAAGCGATAATTGCCAACTTTGGGGGTTCTCTCTCTCTCTCTCGACAGCATTGTAGTTATTTGCAAAGTATGCGTAGGGGAGAAAAATGTTAAAGCTCATGTGGGTTGTGCAGGACGCTCTAAAAGTTCAGGAGGGTTAAGTGAGATAAACATAGTATAGAGGGGTTGTAGGAAATATTCCCCAAAGATCTGGGGGGTTATGTGGGGTTAACCCTCATTTTCCGTAACTTTCTCAACAAACTCGGATGTTTTAAGAAGGGTCCTTTCTTTTTTCTTGCAAATAAGTAAGGTTCTTTCTTGAAGTGGGGAAAAAAAGGTAACGTGACATGTTCAATTTACTATTGCTTATCAATTATAACTACACGTAAACCTCATTTAGTTCAAGCAAGCAAACTCTACTAAGTTTGAGAAGGTTTCTCTAATCTTTAAAGTTCAAGAGGGTTTGCACAAGGCACCCGAAATTTAAATTTGTTTGTGCTAAGCTATAAATTTTGTTTTTTAATAATCTTGAACTATTTTCCATCGCTACTAGGCCCCTAAATTATTAAATTCATCCATTTGTACCTTCTAAATTATCACTTTCAATAACCAGTTATCACTTTCTTGTTTATCGCTTCGTGGTTTTTTTTAAAAGTAATTGATTTATGATATGCAAATGATAGTTCAAAGGATGAGTAAGGATCCGAAACCAAAAGTGTAAATTTCATATAACCCATCCTCAGCTGTACATTTGTCTGTAACTTACATTATAAAAATAACAATCTAAAGATTGACAAGTGCTAATAGTTAAAGCAGAGCAGCGAGAAATTTACCCCTAACCAAATAATAAAATAATAGAAAAATTCTTCAAGAACCCAAAATATAGGACCAACAGGGAGACATATGATGTGTCCACCTCTTATTGTATAATGAATTGGTCATCATTAATGATAGTCGGATCATTATGTAATAGGAGGGAGACACATCACATGTCCATATTTTTTATCCTGGTAACAAAGCCCAAAATAATAACTGCCAGTCTTATATGTAAATAAAAACATTAAATATACTCAACAAAAGAGCACGGTACACGCGTCCACGCGTGCAACGTCTACTACATTTACACCGTCCAATTACACACAATAATTTACAAACGGCCCAAAGCCCAACCAAGCCCACCGACCTAACCACGTACTAACTTATTAAGTATTTACAACCTTCATTTACTCAAGCTCTAATTAATCCAAGCCGTACGTTTAAATAGATCAACACCGCCCATCACAGATCCCGAAATCCTCAAACGACGACCCCGCTGTCTCGTGTTCCAGCCCCAACAGCGTCTCCAATCTCGAGATCGCATCCCCTCAACGAAACCTCATTCCGCACCCCCGCGTCGCCGGATCCGACACGACGCCTCCGACTCCGACGCGTTTCTTCCGCCGCTTGGCGCCCGATCCTGCACAGGAAAACGTGAGCTCCGCCTCCGGGAGGATCGCCGAAGTAGCTTGGCTTTCGGTTCTATCTCGCGGGCGGCCGCGGCGTCGTAGGCCAAGCAGCCTCCTCGCCAGGTGCTTACGTCCCGCAGCCAAGACAACGGACGCCCTTACGGGATCGCGTATCTCTGGCCACCATTTTGCCCCATGGACGGCCGATTCTCGGGTAGTTAGTTATACGCGCTTTTGGCCCTTCGTTCGTCGATGTCGACAGGTCGCGGATAGGAGCTTGTCGTCTATGTACCCCCGTCCTATATAAGAAACGGAACTATAAATCAAATCGTCTAACACATCTAAATCATAATTTCTAAAGACGCCAGTTCTCCATCTTGTACTTTGATATCGCGTTACATCAGCAGCGCACCAGTCAAGACTACGAAGAGACCAATTTAGCTCTCGTTACCCATTTTTAGACGAGCATTGTACTTTGATTAAGATGTTTAACACCCAAAAAAAACCCATTAACAGTTTCTTCAATCCTATCCAAAGCATATTTCAAATGAAGAATCTGGTCTATTTACCTTGTTGATTGTAAGGCTTGAGTGGCTCATCGGACCCAAATGAATCGGAGAGGCTCTCGAACTCCGAAGACCAGAGGTCACTCTGAGTGAGATTTCTAGCTCCCTTGAACGCGATGAGGTCGGAGATTATTGCACCACCGCACATTTTGTCGGTCACCGAATAATATTACGAACGATTCACGCGAATAATACAAAGAGGAGCTATAAGCAACAGATGACATCTGATGGAGACCCAGCTCCGTATCCCCTTCTTATTTATAGTCGATTTTTTTGCACTGTTTTAAGCTCTTGGATGTCGTCATCCTGCAAAAAGACAAAAGTCTGGGGTTTCTCACGCGTTATCTACAGCGTGCGGTGCCATTGTAAGTTCTGCACGTGTCAAGAATTTATGGGCTGGATTTGCTGTGGCTGCTGTGGCCGCCGTTAAGGATTTGGGCGCCGAAGGTCCAGACCGCGACGGGCCCGAGGATTAAAGTGGGCTTAAAGTCGGACTCATCTCTTTCAGGGAAACCACCCGAGTGTTTGTGTTATTTACGATTGTACCCTCTTCAGGACGTCCAAATTTAGGCCTTAATCAATCTGATTAAACCCATGGCACCCCGTCCGTACGGTTTTAGAATTATTGAGACTAGTGTGCATCCGAGCAAAGTACGGCTCCCCATTATTTTGAGCACTGCACTTTAAACTTGTGTCTCTGAGTTTTAATATATTTAATTTAATTATTGTAGGTTTAAAATTAGAAATCATATCTACTCCTCTATACTTAAAAAAAGATCTAATATTTAATATATTTAATTTAAAAATCATATATACTCATTTATACTTAAAGAATGATCCAAGTTTTAATACATTTAATTTAGAACTCATATCTACTCCTCTATACTTAAAAAAATATACAAGTTTTAATACATTTTATTTACTTTACTGTTTATGACACAATAAATACTATAGCATAAATAGTAATTTCAAGTATGGAGGAGCATATTTGATATACTGTTTAAGCTACAGTAAAAACTATAGAATGAACAGTGCTTTGAGTGCAGAGGACCAGATTTGATTTTTACTGTTGATAATGTGGCATGAACAGTAATTCTTTGGATTCTTCTTTAAGTATTGAGGAGTAGATTTATAAGATCTGTAAAAGTTACAAACTGAACAGACCAAACAATCTCTCGATTCTCTAAAATCCATGTTCCTCTTTCTTTTACTTGGTCTAAAATTTTCCCTCTCTCTTTCATTGTTATATTAATCCGCATCATGCTTTCATCAATTTTTAAATATAATTTCTTTTGCATCAAAATAACCAGTGTCTTGTCTAGTGCGTCCAAGCCAAAACCAAAAGGCTTGAACATGAACACTTCGTTTCGGGCCGACTTGATTGTTCGTTCGTTCTCCCTCAAATCCATTGAATGGCATAATTGTATATAAGACGAAAAGCTTGGGTCTTTCGTTATCCACAAAACGCTCGAAATGCGTAAGCTTTCTGTTGGTGTCCGTATGCAAGAATGGAAACCACGAGGACTGCAAGCTGCCAAAGGACGCTTCCTTGGTAGGGATGACAAAATTGAGCCACTGTCATTTGCTGACTTATACTCACCTCCTCTTTGATCCATTTAAATTTCTCTATTTAGTTAAATGAGACATAAATGAATTAAGTATTGATTATATTAAATATAAATGGATCGTAAATGTGCATGTTATTACACTTTAATTTGCCTATTTAGATAGATTTTCTTTCGAAAACACATTCAAAGTTTCAACAATTACAAAAAATATTTACATAAAATATCCTAATGGTAAACCAACAACCAACACACTTAAAATCTAGAAATTACCAGCATGCCCTTAAAATTTTAATATTTGCAAAAAAACGCTTAAGGTTTGAAAATTATAGAAAAAATCCTCAATAGTTAAAATTACGAAAGACTCTCAAAAAATTCTAACCTCACAACTCACACGAGAAACCATGAAATTTCCAATAGGTTAAAAATTTGCAAATTACACCTTTTAGAAAATGAGAAAAACACCATGAAGGGTTTAGAATTACAAAAACAACCCTAAAGTTTCAAAAACTAAAAATAACACATGAAGTATTATTAGTATCCCCCTGTAAACTTGGAATTTGCAAAAAACTTTTAAAATACGAAAAACACCCTCGAGGGTTTAGAATTACAAAAATCATCCTAAGATTTTAAAACCTACAAATGACACATAAAATCTAAAAATTACCATCAACCCGATGCAAATTTAGAATTTACAAAAGACATCCTCAACGTTTAAAAATTATGAAAAAAACCCCGTGAAAAAAGTGGACCACCCATTTAATAAATGGGTAGGTGAGAAGTGACATATTTAGCAATTGTTAAATGGGTCATAAATGTGCAAATGTGCATAAACGTGTCCACCCAAAACCCGCTCTAAACCACTCATTCGATAACCCTGTTTGATGGTGAAGATGCGGGTTTAATTGATGATTAATTGATAGCGGATTAGTGTTAATTTAACGAATGATTTTATTAAAAATAAATGTTAGGGTTTTTTTCCGTTCTAAAAACGGCCTTAAAAGTAGCGGGATTACATGAAAATCACGTTTAGAGTGGGGTTTTTTTTCCTCCGATCAATCACCTCCTAGTTAAAAGTTTTAATAAAACCCCAAAAATA